CTCACAGAACAAAGCAAACGTATTTATACGTGAATATGCAGATTGTAATCAAGTATTACAGAATGCACCCCTAACCTTCAAATGTGGTGTCATTTGGACAAAGTCAAATTCTGAGAGACATCTCATGCATCTTATAAGATCATTTCTACGTCCTTGGTTGATCCAGATGTCATTCCAGTTGGCCAAGTACGCACAGTAGCACATTCCAAATCTCTTATATTGGCTCTGAGGACAGAAGAGGGAGGACAGTGCTAGAGGAGTCATGACTGAGGACACATGAGACCCTCCTTTGTGGAAGTTTTTTTCTGAACTGGCATGCCCATTTATCAGAAATCAGTTGGTGATTGGATGCTTCAAATGAAGGATTTGAGAAGAGGACATCTCATGTCATTAATAATGTGTTTCCTCGAGTCTCTCTTCTTGCATCTTACGTGGGCGGGATTAAGACACAGGGAAAAGTGAGTAACCAGAGAGGAGAATGTTTGGCGCTGATATCACCATGTACTCCTTCTATGCCCTTCTCCTCTGTCTGATATTCTGTGCATGCTTCCTTTGCTTTGGTGCCTGATTGGCTTCTGCTGGGTTTGGCAGGGAGCCTATGGACTCCCGGTGCTGTTTTTGTGTGCGTGTGTGTGTGTGTATGTCTGTATGTCAGCATTCTGCACATGTATCTGCACCCAAGCCTGTATAATGAGTGCTCCGTAGTAAAACTGTCATCTGTAAATCAAGTGGAGTGCCAGGTGCCTGGTAGTGCCACACTCTTGATTTAAAGCTGCTACATGATTTAAATGATATGTTGTTTGGAAGTTGACAAGGTGTTAGAAAGCAGCTTTCCAGTGGTCGGACCTGAGCTGGTGTGTCTGACCAGTTCTGTAAATTTTCAAAAACCAATCATTTGATGTTTAAAACCACACTGACGTTTTAAATTGGTTGTTAATGGAGATTTAGGTGTGAAAAGGACGCCTGGTTTAAAATGGTCTGCAAAGTTTATTTAAATTTTTTTCTGGCATTGTGTTCACTACTCGACTGCTCACCAGAAATAGATTCCAGGAGACTGTTTGCATTTGCCAGCATTTGATAGCTCCTGCAAAACAAAGGATTTTCTCTAAGTCGAGTTTTGCTCTACTCCTACATTCCTGTCCTTAGAGTTCACCTAACAGTTTAGAAGACTCACTGTTTTCCAGCCCAGTCCGCCTCCTTCTGTGCTTCACCAGCAAACATCCTCAGCCATAGCACAGTTCCTCTGCAGCTAAAATCAATTTTCAGCAGCTCATAATCAATATCTTATTATTTAATATATACCAAAACAGTGAAAGGGCTTGAGTAAAAAAAACAGCTGCATTATAAGTTATAAGGTAACTACACTAAATGCAGAACATTAGATGTATGAAACTGAAGAAATAGTGCTTCAGAGTTTTAGTTAAGTAAAGCCCTTGCATCTATGTACTTAAATACTTTCCACAGCCACTGACATCCTTAAAAATCCAATGCAACCAATCTGAACAGGAATCCAGAGCACTGGCATGATGCAATTATGTGCCAAGGAAATATTTTAACTGCGAAGCAGTTGGAGGAAGTGTGTTAGTCACTGCATGCTACTTTGTCTACACATGGATTTCAATATAGTAATGGAATTTATTGTAGTTCTGACTGAACAAAGCTGAGCTGATCAGAAAAAAACAGCAATTTCCCCCCATCTGTTGTGTAAGTAGTTAGACTAGTAGATGTGTAATAACACAAACTCCATCATAGGTGTTACACATTTTCCATGCAGCTCCAGTTAACAACCCCATCCCTGTCTGTGAAAGCCAGACTTTGTCCCTAACTTTGTGTGAAAAGACCTGAAATGATTGGCTTTCTGTTACAGCTGGACAAATGACTTGAGAACGTTTTTCACAGGCCTTTATTCCCTCCCAGGTTCAACCTGATCAGTGAGGCACATGGAAGCACACACACTGCGTGATTAAGTGTTTAATCGAAAGAAATTAAAGCCCAACACTGGCCTCACAACTCTTGGTTCTGCCTATCTGAGGCCAAATATCTGCTCAGTTCTTCCCCCTGCACCTGAGGTCAGTGGGCCCACCAAGTCCTGAACCAAACCCAGGCCAAAAAAGTGGGTAATTTAGCCCTGCCTGACATCGCTCATCAGTTCCTGTCGGATAAAGGAGTCAACATCAAGATGCAGCCTGATGGCTGAAAAATATTTTTGAGTGTTTCTAGGTGGATTCAGGGATGTGTGCTGTCCTGCTGGTTGGGCTGTGCATGGAAACATGTTCTTTTTCTCTCACTGTGCTACTTTGTATTGGGAGGAGGATGGAAGCAATTACCAGCACCAGCAGCTGAGAGAGGACCAAGCCTCTGCACATCAATCAGCATTACTCCACCACTCGTGCGAGTGTGTGAGAAGGAGTGTGTGAAAGACCACCCCCCAGTGGTGACACGCTTCATAACAGCCAGGCACTTAGAGCACCATAACAACCACAATCTGCTCAAGGGTCTGAAATCAGAATAGAGGCCCTTTTTTCCTCTAAATTAATTTTCACCACCTAATTGCTATCTTCATTACCGGGGTACAATAATGTCAAAAAACACTGTCCTGATTTAATTTCCATGGCTGAATGTGAAATGAGTCGGAAAAAGAGGCAAAGCGTGTGCTGCTTGTCATTTGATTCATGCTGAACTGCAAAGCAGAGGCAATTTAGGTTAATGTGGAGTGAGGAAGAGGGGAGAGGTTACAAAAAGCAGGGGTAATTTGGTGTGGCGAGTTAATGAGTCATCTTTTGTTCAGAGTATTTGATTGACAAAAGAGCCAAGCAGCATTGGTGTTAGAGAAGCCTTAAAGGGCCTCTGTAAATTTTTCATTCTGTCACTGTTTTTTTTGTTTTTTCCACATACACTTTATTTGGTTTCAGCAACACACTCCTTCTATCTCAGGCTTTATGTCTCTCCCTCTGGTGTCTAGTCCTCCTGTGTTTAAGCTAATTGCAGCTCTGCTAAGCTTGAGTGTGTCAACTGTGACATTTCCACTGTTGGCGTAGCAACATTAGCACTGCTCTCTCATTATGTCCGCATTAGGGACATCACACATTAGCCAAACTTTCCTCTGGCTGCACTTAACACAGAGGGAAAGGGGGTTTTGATGTTAAAAACCCAAATGCTTTTAACATTTAATATGATCTTCTCTGAATTCTGCACTGGCACTTCGTTTTAATGTCCCTAAAATTGCACTGCCGAAAGGTAAGCGGGAACAATCATCCTCCACTGATTAGTTCTCTGCTCTTGGAGCATGGTTACCCGAGCTCCATCACCTCATGCATACTAAACCAATGAAAAGCACAACAGCCAAATCTTTATGTGTTGTGCCTCTAAGAGAGAATGAGCTAAAATAAAAGCTTGTGTTGTGCATTTTGTCTATGGAGGACTGGGTGTGTATCGTATTCAGGTTGAAGTTCAAGGCCAAACTGCTGTTTTATGAAAGGGAGAGAAAGGGAGAGAAAGGGTGCGCTGTTCTGTGACGAATGATTGTTAGAGAGAACTCAGCGCTACAGGTAAACAAATGAGGCTGATTTTCTTTGGGATAAAACGATTTGAGAGTCTGGATGTCTTATCCATGATGAGAAAACAGCAGGGTGTCGCACCATCAAGGCCAGCACTCTCTGAGCCTGGTGACGACACAGACATTTATACCATGCTTGATGTAGCTATTGATTCTGCATTATTATATTATTTACTGACACTGAAAGCTGCAGCAAACTGTATTTCCACCTTTCAACACTGCACCTCATGAATGAGGATTTCTTCTCTCTCCGTTTCCATTACACAACTTGCAGCGCACTGGCGACAGGAGCACACTCCTTTTAAAGAGAATGAGACAAGCTGCTGTGATTGGCCGTGATAGGCGCCAGCCCACACCACACCTACTGATAATTTATTCCTCCTCATTCAACTGCATGTACTCAACATCAAGAGGGCTACAACACACTGAGTGACTGTGGTTAAAAAAAAAGAAAAAAAAAAAAAAAAGGGGGTGTGGTGTAAAGAATCACTAAGTATTACATCATGAATATTCCAGAGAAGAATCATTTCAGGATTTGAAGCTCCATTCCTGGTACTTCTGAGTCTGCCTGACATAAATCCGAGAGAGGTCTGTTTACTTCTGTTTGACGCACATAGTTGTGTGTTGCCAAAATGCAGGTGACCTACAAACAGCGATGTGAATGAAAGCAACCAGCAGTGCTGCTGTTTTACAACACATTTTACCATAAAGTAGAAATGATAACATATTGTGGTTTGCCCTATAGTTGCAGTTTTCTTGTGAGAGCTCAAGGGAAGAAAAATGACCATGTTACATGCTACAAATATCTTCATGGTCTTTCTTTAAAGCAACATGCTGAAAACGTTGTCAAGGGACAAAGACTGAAGGTAGATTTTATTTTAGACATCTCATGGTTTGCAGAGGGAGAACTTGATTTGTAAACTCATTGGTGAACGATTCTTCTTCTGCTTATTCTGAATTTTCTTGACATGGATAGCTGTTTTTTTTTAACCTCCTTTTTTAAAAATCTTATTTAAGCCTTCATACATTGCTATCTGGCTTGAGTATTGTTTGAGTATTTTGTATTGTCTGAAGCTTGTAACACTAAGGCTAACCTCAGTGGGATTTCACCTGGTTAAATAATGTAATACCTGACAATGGAAATATCTGAAATTGTGAAATGCAAGAGTTTATTAAGCACAAGCTTTAATCAAATAACTTAGCTAAGTTATACATGTAAAAGTATGATATAATCCATATCTCAAACATTATATTTTATGCAATAGTATTCCATTTGCATATCAGGTTGTTAAGTAAGAAAACATTAGGTGCATCCCTTCCACTCTCTCTGCAACATCTTTCTCTGTTATCTGGCCCCGGGTTTGCTATCACATTTCTTTTAAAGATATGGCATAGGACAAACAAAGGCATAGGACAGTTTAACAATGAAAGAAAAGAGGCTTACTTTGAGCTGAAGGAGACAAACCAGGTTGGAAGAGCAGGAGACAAAACCAGGCATCAAGTAATCCAAAGCAGACAGGAGAGGTTCATGGAAGAAGGCAAAAGGCAGAGTCCAAAATCCAAACAGAACGAGAGGTTCATGGAAGAAGGCAAAAGGCGGAGTCCAAAAAACAGGTAGGAAATCCAAAACATGGGAAGGTCAAAGAAACAAGTGGCTGGAACATTTAAGCTGCAAGATGTACACAGCATTTATCTGGCCAAGAGCTACCAGAAACCATGTGACTTGGGAGCTAATGAAGGAAGTGTAAACAGGTGATCAGGTGAGCGGTCAGGTGATTGGAAGCCAAGGGAATGAGTTCAGAGGCATCTAGAGGCTGGATGAGAGAATTAATGACCAGGAAATAAGAGCCAAGACACACAGGGCTGAGACAGGGACTGTGACAGTTTCATTAAACACAAATTTATTTAGCAATGTGCCACATGTAAAAAAAATAAATTACATAGTCGAGGACATCAGTAATGGTTTCTTAAATAGTAAAAATTGTGGAGGAAAGTCATCATCAGTTTCTTACACTACATGGATGTCTCTCCGAACTGATAAACACAGGAGACATACATTCAAGGCCAAGTGTTTCAAACTATTTGTCAGATGGCACGTGTGAAATGTACAACAGGAAACAAGACTGTAGGAAAGTGTGACTAACTATTCCACTTGTGAGTAACACCTTGAAAATAACTCAGTCTGCTAATAACTCTAGCACTGAGAAATCATGCTCCATGGAGGCAACACCTTTTCAGTGAACTTGCAGCTGCCTTCCAAATTCCTCTCATTTCACCCTCTTATCAGCTTCCATCACAGGCACAGTGACATTAAAATGACTTTTTTTGTCCTAACTAGCTCAAAATGTTTAACAGTTAATGACAAAAATCACATTTTAATGGGGTTTCACAGTTAGATCCTGTTTTACCATCTAGTTTAATGGCTACCTCATACTGAACCACACATACATTACATTACACTCACTTTGTGTCTTTGTCTTATTTTTTCAATTGCTTTCCTTCTTACATCACAGCTCAATCATTTACCTTGGGAAATGCAACAAATTAAAAAGGCAGGATTCCATCAGGATTATGTTTCATTACAAATGTAAGCATCAGCTAGTAACTATAAAAGTAGCCTGGATGAGCCTCTTATCTGCCTGATACAGCACCTTCTTTATAAATCTCAATCTATATTCTTAACTACTTACAACTTACCTTGAGGATTAGCAACTTCTGAGACAAAGTGCTCATCACTTTTTGTGACTAATGCATACTAAATACTTTCAGGCCACCCTCTCATAAGTGTCTGATCACAGATCTGTTCTGCTGTTTTCTTACTGGCAAATTCAAAGGTAAGGGGGCTGTGTGAAAGCCGAAGAAAAGGGAACATATCGCTGACTCAGAGACTGAAATGACACACCACAGTCTGGCAAGTTGTTCTCACGTAGCATCTGTGCATCTGACATCAGATGGAGCACTGGGAAATGTCCCCCGGTCACTCTGATTCTCACAAACACCCAGAGGAGGAGACTATAAATGTGCATCAGCATGGAAGAGATGGTCATTCCCCAGTGACAATATTAGCTTTAAAATAGTACCACCGCAGGCAGAGGATGTTTTGAGATTCTTTTGAGGAGTGAGCGGTTGCTGTGACTGATAATGAAGCAAACACACCACCACAGAGACCACCAAGACGTCAGGTTTATTCCCATGGTGTTAAACTGCAGCCTTTTTGATGCTTTGGGGCTTTTTTTTGGCAACCTCCAAAGCAAAAAGGAAGTGATTTAACATTAAACTTCCTTAACAATGTCAGCCTCACAACAGACAGTTTAAAAAAGGGATTAAAATCGATGCAGCAAGACCAGAGATAACATCTGTCAACGTTTGTCAAAATAACGTGGGCTTCATAGACAACTGGAAAACATTTTGGGGAAAACCTGGTCTGATTAGCAGAGACGGCATCCATCCCACTTTGGTTGGTGCGGCTCTCTTATCTAGAAATCTGGACGAGTTTGTTTTACAACCTAAATTATGACAACCCAGAGTTGAGTCCAGGATGCAGGGTCGCAGTCTTAGACGCCTCTCTGCTGTCTCCTTGCAGCTGCTACCCACCCAACGCTCCCAGTACCCCATAGAGACTGTGTCTGCCCCCCGCCCACCTAAATTATATAAATCAAGAATCAACTCCAGAGGAGTTATTCATAAGAACCTAATTAAAATTAAGATGACTCCTCTTATAGTAGAAAGTAATAGGACAATCAAATGTGGACTATTAAATATCAGATCTCTCTCATCTAAATCTCTGTTAGTGAATGATTTGATAAGTGAACATCACATTGACTTATTGTGTCTTACTGAAACATGGTTAAGGCAGGAGGAATATGTCAGCCTAAATGAATCCACTCCACCTAGTCACAGTAACTGTCACATCCCTCGAAACACAGGCCGAGGTGGTGGCGTGGCAGCGATCTTTGACTCAAGCCTATTAATCAACCCTAGACCTAAACATAGTTATAACTCATTTGAAAGTCTCACCCTGAGTCTCTCACACCCAAACTGGAAAACTCAAAAGCCTGTTCTGTTTGTTATTGTATACCGTCCACCTGCTCCTTATTCAGAGTTTGTAAGTGAATTCTCAGACTTTCTGTCTGATTTAGTGCTTAGTACAGATAAAATAATCATAGTAGGCGACTTTAATATTCATGTAGATGCCGACAATGACAGCCTCAACAATGCATTCTGTTCATTATTAGACTCAGTTGGCTTCTCTCAAACTAAATAAACCCACTCACTGTTTTAATCACACTCTTGATCTGGTTCTGACATATGGCATCAAAACTGAACACTTAATAGTTTTTCCCCATAACCCTCTTCTGTCTGACCATTTTCTAATAACTTTTGAATTTAAATTAATAGATTATACTCTATGTGGGAAACAATTCCACTACAGCAGATGTCTATCTGGCAATGCTGTTACCAAGTTTAAGGAAATAATTCCATCTTTATCTACTTCAGTGCCGTTTGCCAACACAGTGGAAGGAGGCCACCTTAACTTTACTCCAACACAAATCGATAATCTTGTTGATAGTACTGCAGCCTTCCTGCGTAATACACTTATACCATTGCCCCTCTGAAAAGGAAGGCAGTGAAACAGAG